CGGAACTGGGGCTTGAACTCAGACCCTTGCGCTTGCCAGGCAAGCACTTATTCTACTGAGCCATCTCCCAGCCCCCAGATGCTTTTTAAATCTGTTGAGAGGTCTATGTCTTCTGGTCCTATTACAAACTGAATTAAGCCTGTAGGACAAATCCCACGACCCTGCTGGCTCCTCCACCTAAGAGGGAAGGGACAGAGCCTAGAGGGAAGGCCCTGCCCGGGTTCCTGCCAGGGGACAGGAGCTGGCACCGGAGTAACTGCCTCCCTGGCAACGCTTAGGGGCCGGGGCCCAGGCTGGGGTTGGGACTCTGCACCTGGGGAGCACAGGTAGGAGATGTGGCTAGGCCAGCACTTGAGGCTGGGAGGAGCGGGCCTGTCAGTGCCTGGACATGGGTCTCTACAGAAGACACCAGGAGGACACAGGAGTCTTGGGCTTGGCACCTGACGACTTTGGGTAGATCATGCAAGGCGTTAATGTCAGAGGCAGCTGCTGAAGGATGCCCGTGCTCCAGTGCATCCTCACAAAGGCCAAAGGGTAGGAGGCAGCGCTAACGCCCCTTGAATGGGGAGTCCTGATTTAGGGTTTGTCACATGATTTCCCAGTCTCCTTTGCTATGCAGGGCCATGTGACTATGTCCTAACCAGAGGATGTAAACAGGAAGCTCACGCAAGACTTCCAGGAGTTACTCTTATAGGGGCTGCCCGCCCCGCTCCAGCTCCCTTCCTCTGCCTGTCTGCTCCACTGGCATAATTACTGGAGAGAAAACAGCAACTCTGGGATATGACACAGAAGCACATATGAGGGTGGTAAGCGACACGGTTCAGCTGAGCGCCAGCTTATATTCAAGCATGATGGAACCCAAGCATTTCACAACTCTGCTCTTACGAGGGAGGGTGCTGTCCCTGGTAACCCAAACAACTGGACTGCTCACCCAGTCACCTCACAGTAGGAAGGACAGACCGGTCTAACTTGAGCCCCAGCTCCGCCACCTCCCTGTGACCTCTTGCCTGTGCTAAATCTACTCTGCTGCCAGGTTCTCACATGTCAAGTGCAGGTTATAATACCTGGGGTGTCATAAAGACCAAATTATCTCAGACATAGACTTCTGAGAGCAAGGACCAGCTCACAGTAAGCACCCCATAAATGTCAGCTTGCTACCACTTTCCTATTTTTTCTGAGAGGCAGACAGCTCTAATTTAAACTCTGGCCCTGCCCAGGGATGAGCTGCTGCACACCACCACCCTCCGCCCAGAGTCGAAGAGACACCTGCTTCTGCTGTCCCCTTCAGTATGCTTGTGCGTCAGTGACACCAATACCTTAGAGTCACTGCTAAGCCAGCTGTCAAGGTCAACAAGGGAGCCAGGAGCGTGCAGGAGCCACCTCCAGATCTCCCTGGAAAGCTGCTGGCCAGAGGGCTGAAGGGCAGGTCCTGGGTGCAGGCTCCCCAGGAAAAGACCGTCCCTCGTTGCAGACACAGGGAAGCTCTCTGATCTCGTGGCTGCTCCCCCCCCCCCCCCGCAGGTTGGGAGAATCACATGCCCTTGTCTGCTGGGAGCAGCCAGGTGTCCCAGCACATGGGCACAGGGGACAGTTGCCCTGAGCCTGAGAGCAGCACCAACCGCTCCTCCCACCCCTAGTTTCACTCCACAAAGCCTCACCCAGATTTCAGGGTTAGCCTCAGAAAGGAATGGGCAAGGAAAGGGAGCCTGGAAGAGATGCCCACAATCCACCCGTACCTCTCACCAGGCACTCCACATCGGAGCCTCCAAGTACATGGCCAAGGGACTGCTGAGGGACTCAAGAGCCAGGGTGTGTCTTGTCCCACCTCAGCAGGGCCAACAAGACTCAGTCCCACTCAGCTGCCACCTGCAAGCTCTGGGAACGACCCTGCCATGAGGAGGACAGGGTGTGTCCCATCTGCTCCCAACTGGAACAAGGTCAGCCAGGGACAAGGCTGCCATTCCTCCGAGGACTATTTGCCCCTGGAGTCATCAGCAGAGATGCCCAAGCCTCACCTCCTCCATCCTTGCCCATAGCAGCACCAGTTCACTCTGGGATGAATGACCTCCCCCTGCCAGGTCCCTGACATCACCCCACCCATTTCACCGGCAGAAAACAGAGGTCCACAAGGTCGGCCTGTGACAATCTCTGGGTGGGAGAACCCCTCTGTGGGAGCCAACCCCTGCCCTAAGGCTGCAGGGGGCTAAGTCACTAATCCCCACAGGCTGGAGAAGGGTCCACGGCGGCAGCTGAGAGCCGAGAACCCCCGCCGCCCGGGCTCTGGGTCACTCCACACCCGGGGCCGTGCGCAAGGCCCCCAGTACCAAGCACCGCCGTGGCCGCGCCACGCGATTCCCGTCCGATTCCCTCCGCGCTCACCGATCCCGCCGCCGCCGCCGCCGCCACCGCCGCTACATTGTCGCCCACCGCCGCCACACAGCGCCCGGGCGCCCGCTGCTGCCGCCTGCGGCCCGGAGGCGCACGACACCGTCCCTGGGCCCCGCCCCGGCCTCGGAGGGGCAGGTCGGGCCGCCCGGCGCAGGGCGCTGAGGGATCTGCGGAGCAAGCGGGGTCTCTGGCAGCAGCGGGGTCGCCGCGCGGGAACCGCACGAAGCCTGCGACGGGGTCAGGCCGGGCACGTCCAGCTCGGGGGCTCCAGCCCGGGGCACTGGGGACGCAGAGGAGCGGCGGAAACGCGGGCCACTCGGGCCCCGGCGGGACGGCTGCGCGGCGGCCGGAGGAGGCTCAAGGCGCCCTGCGACCGCGTGGGCAGGGGACAGCAACGGGCACGCGCGGGGCCTGCGGGAGAGGCCCGGCGGAGGGCGAGCGCGGAGTGCTGCTGCGCCCGGTCTCCGGCCGGGAGGCCCATGAGCCCCGCCGCCGAGCTAGCCGCGCCCCAGGACGGCGGGGCCACCTGCTGGGCGGGCGCGCGCGACCGAGGCGCTGCCGCGGGTCCGCTCCGACCGCCCTGCGGGCAGTGTCGCCGTTCTGTGGGCCTTGCTGCCTCGCGGCTTCCACCTGAACTCCCTTCCTCTCCGCCACCACACCCTTGCGGCCCTGAGGGGAAAGACCCGGGTACGCGCGACGCGCTGCAGGCCTCCCGCGAGGCGCTGTCCAGCTTCCCTCCCTGCGTCTCCGCCCCAGCGTCCCTCTGCGCCTGCGCCGCACACTGCTCACGCCCACGTGGCCCCTTGAGAGAGAAGCTCAAAAAAACTCAACGTTGACCAATCAAATGTCTACATTCTCTTCGGCCAGCCAATCAGAGAACGCTATGGCCTGGCGTGGGGTGTGCAGCTTTGGGAAGTGAAGTTTGAGCGGAGCGAGGTCGTGGGGGGCGGGGCTGAAGGGGGATTGCTGCGCCCAGATCCTGCGTTTCCTAATAGCTCAGTCTCCACTACTCCTCCGGGACTAGTACCGTTGGCTTTGCTAGGTGTGGTGGGATTCTTTTCCCCGGTAGCGGAGACTGATAGCGCCCAGGGCGTGCTAGGCAAGTGCTGTACAACCGAATTGCTTCTCCATCCTTTTTTAGTTTTGTTTTTACCATCGGGAATCGAACTCAGGACCTCACACTTGCCAGGCAGGTGCTGTGCCACTGAACCAGGGCTTCCTTTTAAATTTGATCTTAAGATGAGGTCTCCAGGGGCCGGGGAGATGGCTCAATGCTTCCCTGGCAAGCGCAAGGGCATGGGTTCAATCCCTGGTTCCGGAAAAAAAAAAAAAAAAAAAGAGGAGGTCTCCGAGGGGCCAGACAGATGACTCAGTGGAATAAGCGCTTGCCCGGCAAGCGCCCGGGGGCCCGAGTTCAATCCCCGGTTCTGGAAAAAAATAAAATGGGAAGAAACTTCAAAAGGAAAGCGAAATGGGTGGAGAGTAGAGAAAAGGAAGTAAAAAACATTTACTGATTTTTTTTTTAAATTTATTTATTTGTGTGTGTGTGTGTGTGGCCAGCTCAGCCCACCAGGGGGCGGGGCTGGTTGGCATGTGGTGCTGGGGGATTGAACTGCGGTCCCTGTGCTTTGCTAAGCTTGTTCTAAGTAGGTGCTTTAGACCACTGAGCCATCTCACCAGCCCAGCATTTACTGATTTCACTGAGCTCGTTGAAAAGAAAGGTTTATGCTAGGGTTTTTTGTTTTTTTTTTTTTTTGCAGAACTGGGGATTGAACTCAGGTCCCCAGGCAAGCACCTATTGACTGAGCCATCTCCCTGGCCCCGTTTGTGCTAATATTGATTGGACAATTAAATGCTGATATCTTGTACTTTGAGTGACTAATTTAAAGATAAGGTGGGGCTGGGGAGATGGCTCAGTAGATAAGCACTTGCCTGGCAAGCGCAAGGGCCTGAGTTTAACCCCTGGTTCCACCTAAAATAAAATAGCAAAGATAACAATAGGCAAGGTAAGGGCCAGGGAGATGGCACAGTGGAATAAGCGCTTCCCTGGCAAGTACAAGGGCCTGAATTCAATCCCTGGTTCTGCCAAAAAAAAAAAAGGCAATGTATTAGCCATCGTTATCCCATTATCTTGTTTTGAATTTTTTTAAGCTTTACAATTATTATTATTATTATTTTAAATTTTATTTGTTCATTTATTTATTTATTTATTTTGTGTGTGTGTGTGTGTGGCCAGCTCAGCCCATCAGGGGGCTGGGCTGGCTTGTGGTGCTGGGGGATTGAACCGCGGTCCCTGCGCTTTGCTTAGCTTAACTTAGCTTGTTCTAAGTAGGTACTTTAGACCACTGAGCAATCTCACCAGCCCCTCTTTACAATTATTTTTAAAGGAAAATTAAAAGAAGGACTGGCAAGGTGGCAGAAGCATGTAGTCCTAGATTCTTAGGAGGCTGAGGCAGGAGCATTGCTTAAAGCCCTTGAACTCTGGACCAGCCTGGGCAGCACAGTGAGACCCTGTCTTAAAGGTAAAATAAATGTTTAAAAAATAAAATAAAATGGGGCTAGTGAGATAACTGAGCAGACTAAGCACCTACTTACACTGGCGCAGGGACCAGGGTTCAATCTCCACTACTGCCTGCTGTGCCAGCCCTGTCCCCAGGAGAGCCAAGCCAGCCACCAAGGCAGGCATGGTGGTGCACCCCTGTAATCCCAGTGCTGGGGAGGCTGATATAGGATCACTAGGAGCCCAACCTGCGTAGTGAGACTCTGCACCAAATACTTTTTAAAAATAAAAATAAATAAATAAAATAACAGGAGGTCATTGTTAACTCCTGCACTAGGCTCAACAGACCAGACGGGAGAGACTCATGCTAAGTGCCACATGATCCAACTGAACCTCAAAACAGGCCAGGGTTGAGGAGGTCCGAAGCGCGACAGCACCAGTCACTGAGTGTGACAAGGAAGCCCTCTCTGCTTTAACCTGGAGGTCAATTCAGCTTTTGCTGGTTTCTGCAGAAAGCCAGTGTCCACAGCTGCATACCACATCACCAGAAAGCTTGGTGGCTTCCAGCAGGGACCCTTTCTTATGCCAACAGGGCCTGCAGTCAGGAGTTCAGACCTGAAGTCGGCTCTGGGAGGCCTTGTGCATGTTCCTGCCCAGGCTGAGCTCCCCAGAGGTAGGAGCCTCCTGAGAAGGAAGAAAGGGCTGCATGACCTCCACCTGCCCGTGGAGACACAGCATCAGCAAGGAAGAAAGGGCAGGAGCAGGCGCTCGCTGGGGAAGGATCGTGCAAGCCACTGAGAGAAGACATCTACCCTGGCTCAGGTTGGGAGGTTTCACTCCATGACTGCATTGACCTTCGATTTGGGGACTGTCTCAAAGGCAGCAGGTCACGGCAGGGAGCCCAGGACAGAGCAGAGCCACACATTTCATACCCAGTGCTCAGGCATGATCTGCCTCCATGCCCCACCTCTTGGTCCAAGAAGCTACAGCAAGGGAGGTGTCAGGCCAGGAGCAGAAGGGAGGCCACCAAAAGGAGCCTGCAGGCTGTGAGTGGGAGGACTGGCAGTGGCTGTCCACAGAATCCCTGGCCCCCACACATAGAAGGGTCTGACAGGGCCTGGCAGGGGCAAGCACCGGTGGGAAGAGATCAGAAGGCCAGCAAGTTGCCAGACCTTGGCAGCAGATGTGGGTCTGTGGAGTCCTAAAGTGCTGGAGGTGTGTAGGTTAGCATTCCCTTGCTGAGACCAAATCCCTGAGGAAACCAACACAAGGGGAGGAAAGACCTTGGGCATGGCAGCACATGCCTGCAAACCCAGTCCCGGGAGGCTGAGGCAGGAAGATCACAAGCCTCAAATCCAGCCTGGCCAACTTGGTGGCTTAATGATACAAAAACAAACAAACCCAAGGGCCCTGGTTCAATCCTCAAGTCACTGAGAGAAGACATCTACCCTGGCTCAGGTTGGGAGGTTTCACTCCACGACTGCATTGACCTTCAATTTATCTATACCACAATATAGATAGATGCATGGATGGATGGATGGATGGATGGATGGATGGATGGATGGATGGATGGATGGATGGATGGCTAGATGGATGGATGGATGGATGGATGGATGGATGGATGGATGGCTAGATGGATGGATGGATGGATGGATAGATGGATGGATGGATGGATGGATGGATGGATGGATGGATGGCTAGATGGATGGATGGATGAATGGATGGATGGATGGCTGGATGGATGGATGGATGGATGGATGGCTAGATGGATGAATGGATGAATGGATGGATGGATGGCTAGATGGATGGATGAATGGATGGATGGATGGATGGATGGATGGATGGATGGATGGATAGATGGCTGGATGGATGGATGGATGGATGGATGGATGGATGGATGGATGGCTAGATGGATGGATGGATGGATGGATGGAT